CGAACTTAGCAAGTGTTGATCTTAAAATTACTACCAAGGAATAAAGCAAGATCAAAGAATATTAATGTTCCTTATCATTACCAACAACAAAGTTACTAAACACTATAATCAGCCCATACTTCATCTCAGGGCAATATTCATTACTGTTCCAAGTCAATCCACAGTTGGCAATCAAAATGTATGGGAAGAAAAAGGTGTCTTTTTCTTTCAAAGATGTCAAGGTTTCGTGTTCTGTTTTATGCAAATTACTTCAATATTCTTTTCCTACATCAATAAAGTCATTCTCACCACAGGCAATCTAAATATGGTAAGAGAAGAATCCAACAGTTCTTTAAGAAGCTACTATCCACTGTTCAAATGTCAGACATGTGGTACTAGATTCAAAATAACCTTACCAGCTTCTCAACAGTGTCCTTGAAATCCTGTCCTTCAGCAGAAATAGTTGAATCAACCACTAGAGTCGATTGGCAGTTCTTCTTAAGAAGTCCAAGAGTACGGTTAAGAAGATTTCCTGCAGTAATCAAGGTCATATATGAATCTATTTGGTCGACGATTACAAAGTAACCCAACTGATCAGCTAAAAAACCAATCATAGTAACTGAAATATACCTATTGTATTGGCAAGATGTGCATTAACAATATTAATGAAACGTTCTTCTGAATAATCCCCATCATTTCCAAATTCTACCTCCCTCAGGAAGAAGTACCTGACTGCATCAGGCCCAAATTTATGAACCAATTCATTCGGTTCAATTGTATTCCCTAGTGACTTTCCCATCTTCATGCCATCCTATAATTTTCAAAATAAAAAGCATTGCTGCATGAAATAAAATTAGGTATATAAGAAAAAAAATATGCTAAATAATTTGCTCGCTCTTTTGACTGTTTTCAGTTTCAAAGTATATAAAATTGTAGTATGTATTAAAAACATCTGTCCAGGTATCTGTCCTCATTTAGAGCATACAAAAGAACCATAGACCTTTCATAACACCACCCCACCAATTTAATAACTACACCAGGGACCAAAGAATAATTTTGTTGCACATTAGCAATAATGAGGGAAGAAATAATCACTATGGCACACTTCTGGTCAAATGTTAATACAAGTGAACATGGTAATACAATACTCAAATCAGTTAACTTCCTCACTGGACAGATAATAGCCTGCAATGCTTCAATTTCTTCCTTTTCATATCCATGTACAATTCTTTAAAGTTTAAAAGCATTCACAGTTCAAAATTCTCCTTTTCATTTATTTCAACTCCCATACCTTGAATAAATTACTAAACTCCTATGTCCCTTGCTCTTCTAAACTCAGTTTTGATTCCAACAGTCCAATTTTTAGCACTACAAAGATAATGGTCTTATTGCATCTTAATGGTTCATAGACATGTTTATGTAAGGCTATGTAAAATAACAGCAATAGAAGTGAAAAGAAATAGCCAATGCAGACATGTCCAAGCACAATCTAAAGCTTAGATAGTTACAACAGATGTGAACGTTACTTGTCCAAATATTTATACAGGCATTCTATTACCTGAAGGTCTCATTCAAAGCAGATAAAATGCAACTACTTCAAAAGCAAATAATAGGCTATGCTTCATGGTATTCAAGTACCTTTGTCAAGAATCCATGGCCAAACACCATCTTTGGGAGAGTCAATCCAGCAGACATTAGCATAGCTGGCCAGTAAACAGCATGAAAACGTAAAATATCCTACACAAAAACAAAAATAGAAACAAAGCATAAGAAAATATCGAACCATTTACAAGTATGCAAAAGGGGAACACAATTCTTTAACCTGAGTTACATTCAACATGGTGATAAGCTAGAAAATTAATAAAATGCCTTGGCATTTAAAATGAAAGTAGAAGACAAGGAATAACATCAGTCTACATTCATGAAATGAACAAATAAAAAAGGTAAAATGATAATTATTTCCAACAATCAATGCAGTTATTCAAGTCCAGCACAACAAATTTCTGGGAAACATCTCGGAGAATGTGACAACCAGCTTTCCACAAGGATAGAAATCAGTGAAACATTAAAGGGAATTAATAATAGGAAATTAAATATTTTGGTAGTGTTGCCACATTGATAAGTTTCATACCTTTCCAATCAAGTGCAGTGACACAGGCCAACCGGAAGAAACAGCACTTTGTAAACTAGGTTGCTCATTCTCCTCCAACAGAGCTGATAAATATCTGTTTAAAACAAATTGTACTTGTTAAAACCCTTATTCAACAAAAATATTTCACAATGAGAAAACAAGAAATCAGAATCTTTAATTAGTGTCTGTTCTCTTTTTATTTCTTTATCTTTTACACAGCTGTTAAACTATCAAGAATAATAGATTTCACTTACATTTTAACAATGAAACAGAAGAGAAATCAAAACATCCTAATGGCATTCAAATCAAGAATTATAAAGCATACTACATCTATTATAATTTCCTTCTCTATGAGAAAGTGCAGTACCCAAGGAGTGCATCAAACCAAACATATATAGTTTGTTTATTGTCATTGGGAACCGGAATACCCCAATCCACAGATGCTCTGGAAATCGAAAAATCTCTTAAGCCACTTTTGATCCAACTTTGCACCTGGAAAAAGTTCATGAGTAAGATGAGTTTTTCAAAGAAAGAACATCAATCTCTCCCAAAAAGGGAAGAGTTCTACTTTGCTTCACCTCATTCAAACGGTATGAAGGCCGAACAAAATCTGGATTTTTGGCCAAAGTTTCTTCTAATGACTTTTGGTATTTTGACAATGCAAAGAAGTAATTATCCTCTCTCCGAGGAACACATGGCTTTAGGTGTGTAGGACAACAATTATTTTCAAGCAGCTCTTTCTCATCCTGCAGAATGTAACAACAAGCTATTCAGTAAAATAACCACATAAGAATTTGAAAAAAATTGCTGCATAGACACATTCCGATAAACAAATACCATTAGAAAGTATGCTTCTATAGAACTGTATGATCTCCTGAAACTCTAGAAACTATCAACATAAAATTTAATGTTTTCCATTCAAAATATCTAAGAAAATCACCTTTTAATGAATTAATCGAAACCGAAATTTATGAACACAACAGTTGCTATAAGTAGATGGATATGCAGTGTCAACCTTATACTCCTCACAATTGACACAGTACAGTCCCTCATAGTCATCCCGGTAAATGTCATCATTGGCAAGAACTCTAGAATAAAATTCCTTGACAATGGCTTCATGTTTTCGCTCAGTTGTGCGAATGAACTTGTCGTAAGCTATATTTAACTGTAATCAGGAAAATATTAGCAGTCATTAGGACATTTGAGACCTCAATTACTTGGATCAAAGATAAAAACATTCAAAAACTCAATTGCTCAGAACAAAAGTAACATCCTAAGGTGGAGAAAGAAAAGAATTACATCTTTCCACAGCATTTTGTAAGCTTGAGATATAACATCACAATGCTCACTTGGGCTGGCGCCTAGAGCAGCTGCTGCTGTAGCTATCTTCTCCCCATGCTCATCTGTGCCAGTAACAAATATGACCCGTTTTCCCAAAAGCCGCTGCCACAAATATAAGAACACAAGAAAAGAAAAGAAATGAAAATGGATCTGTGCAAAAGTAAAGCACATGGTAAAATGTAAAACCTTGATTGATTAATAATGAATAACTAAGTAAAAATGCATTTCCAATTCTGCCATTATTGCTCTCTGTAAAAGTAAAATCATAAATTAGTTGAACGTACTTAAAAACAATACATTTCTAATCATTAAAATATTATGAAAATATTGGAATCAGAAAGCAAGTAGAAAACAACAATCAGACTCAGTCTAAATTTTCTTCATGTAACGTACTAAGCATAATTAACAATTCCAATATCAAATTTTAAAAATAGAACTAACTTTATTCACAAAGAAACACAATTCGATGACTCAGTTGATACAGCAATCCAAACTTGTCATTGGAAAAAAGAGTCATGGTAGCCTCCTTATAATTTCCAAGCCAAAACTACACTTCTCAATCCAAATCAGCCCCTAACCAAAACTTCTCAAAACCTCATCAACAGAAAAAAAAATCATAAAAAAAAACCCATTAAAAATAAGACACCAGTTAACAATACCTGAAACCTGGCAATGGCATCAGCAGCAATAGTGGTGTAAGCACTACCCATATGAGGAGGGGCATTAACATAATAAAGAGGAGTTGTAACAACAAAAGGCTCAGCCTTTTCTCCAGTTTGGAAATTACTGTTATTGCTTGAACAAGTGCAGAGCATTGATCTTTTTGAAGAAATGAAGTGACTTTGAGGGAGATAAAGCCGATATTTGAAATGGGTAGGTTTGAAATTGAAAAAAGATGATGGTTTTAATGAACTAAAAATGCCGCTTTGTATTGAACAGCTCAAGTTCATCCTTGCTGCAGCCATTTTCTTCTTCAAAAGTTGAAAGTAAAACAAAAAAAAAATTACATAAATATAATTTTAATATAAATTAAGCCATGAATTGACTGACTTGCTTTGTTTTGAAAAGGAAAAAGATTTGAATAATTTTTGAATGGGCTGAAGGGTAGAGAGTTTTGGAGAGGGAATCAGATAAGGGGAGGAAGAAGACGCAGGAGGGATTGAGTTTCTGTCATTCCGTTTTTCATTGGGCTTGACGGGTTTTTTTCTTTACTTCTTTGGGCCATTGTTGGGCTAAGTTGGTTACACTTTGGGTTAGGTTTGGACAGCCTAGTTAAGTATACGTGGCACCCAAATTCCCAAAGCCCGCCAGCCAAGAGCCGGACCACGCACAAAATTGCAGAAAAACAAAACCAGGATCCGCACCGAACCTAACTAAACAATACCAACCGTCAATCTTCACTTGATCAACGTTTCAGAACCACCGAAATCAAGGACACGGATCACGATTTTATACCGTCGATCACATTTTAAAATCTGACGGTTCCCAATCACCCCGCTCAAATTCAAACCCCCTAATTTCGCTCTTATAAAAGTTCAGGTCTCTCTTCCCCCTAAAACCACACAGTCAAAACTCAAATTCAGAAAAAACGCTAATTCACAAGTCTCAAGAATGTCAGGCCGAGGAAAGGGAGGCAAAGGGCTAGGCAAGGGAGGAGCCAAACGACACCGTAAGGTGCTTCGAGATAACATCCAAGGGATCACGAAGCCGGCTATCCGACGTTTGGCGAGGAGAGGCGGAGTTAAGAGGATCAGCGGCTTGATTTATGAGGAGACTCGAGGTGTTTTGAAGATCTTTTTGGAGAACGTGATCCGCGACGCCGTTACTTACACGGAACATGCTCGGAGAAAGACCGTCACGGCCATGGATGTTGTTTACGCCCTTAAGAGACAGGGGAGGACTCTTTACGGTTTCGGCGGTTGAAGTTTTTAGGTTTTTTTTTTTTATGGTTTTTATCTGATGTTTCTTTGATTTGGAAGGAATGTGAATACTGATGGAAAAATGTTATGAGCTTATGAATGAAATTTTAAGCATTTAATCAATCCTTTTGTTTCTTGATTTAAAGAATTATTTTTGTTTTTACTAGGATTTGGCACACTCATTGCATGAACGAAAAAGAAAAAAAATTAATATTTTAATTTATAATTGGTAATTTTCTGTCATGAATTTATATTTTTAATTTTAAAGATATATTTATTTTGATATGAGATGTATGATATTTTCAAATGCTTGGGAAAAAAAATGACTATAAAATTGAAAAGATATAATTAGTTTTAAATTTGTAAATATATTTTTATTTTATGTAATTTTATTATCAATCAAAATGAATAAAAGCCATTTTTTATTTTTATATTTGTTAAGATTAATTTTTTTGTAAGTTAATAATTTTTTTATTTTATGTTAATTATTTATATATTTTAATAGATAAGAAAATACTAAACATATATATTTTGAATGTTTATTTTGTTATGGTTTAAGAATTTAGATTAGATTAGATAATTAAGATATATCAAATAAGTTTATATATATAATTGTAATTTAATTTAACTTTTAAAATTTAATTGTGTATATCTAAATTTGAATGTAAATTAAATTGAATTAAGATTTGAATTTAATTCATTCAAATCAAATCTTTAAATATTATCTTTAACTTATATATATTTTTTAGTTAAGAAAATATTAATTTTTTATTTTATTTATAAATATACATTTAAATAAAATTTTCATTTTTAAATAATTTTTTATAATTATTTTTAAAATTATATTTTATAACAGAAAAATGTTTTTATTTTATGAAGTATTAAATTTTATACAAAAAGTTTACCTTGCCGACAAGGAGGTTGATGATGTTGTAATAAATTTTTAATTTATTTCACGTTAAAATTAAATTAAGGACGTCAATTTCTTAATGACTTTGATTTAGCGTCTAATAGACAATGACAAGACTAAGAGACATGGTAGCCTAGCACTACTCATTTAGACTTAAAGCATCAATGTAATTTAGTCAAAAAACACTGCCCTAATACATTGAAAAACACCCTAAAGTTAAATAAAGCAGCCAAACAGTACTTAAAACCACATGATTTCGAAAAGATGGCACAATCAATTTTAATCCCCACATGCAATTATTGGGGGAATTTTCTTTTTTTTTTAATGCCAACTTGCATCTCAATCAGCAATTAAAAAAATAATTTAATTATATATATTATCTTGTATATAAATACTTTATTTTTTAAGAAATATATTTTCGAAAACGACAACGGCCGCCGGCTGCTTTATGTTTTCATTGGGTGCGGAAGGAGAGAGTGAAGCGTTGATGTCGTTGTCAACAAGTGACATTATTTTGATCCGACGGCTGGGATTCGTTCTTCTATGTAATGCGTGAGTTGTGATTTAATTTGTGTGGTTATTATGTTTTATTATTATTTTTGCTTTGTCGCTTCGGGCATTAGCCCATCAAGGGACAAATTAAAAATTATGGTTCATGAAAAGGATTTTTTTGAGACAAATCCAATTAGTTCTTTTCCTTCATTTGTCTGGACGTCCTTAATTGGATGCTCATTTTTTTTAATTAAGTTGTTTTTTATTATTTAAATTTAATCATTAAATTTCATATTTTATGATTTAATTGAACATATTAACAAATTATTTAATTTTTTAAAATAATTTTAAAATTTTTTAAAATATTATGTTATCAAATTATTATTGATAAAACAACTATTAAAAATTACGAACTCAAACCGCATAATTTTAATTGAATAAATTTTACTTACTTCTTGTAATATCAATTTATTTCCTATAATATCTTTTTTTATAATATTCTATCAAACACGCATTTCATTATTTTTTTTAAATGAAGCCATAGTTATTATTTCAGTTCAAAACTATAAAATATATTCAAAATTAATTAAAATTAAAAAAAGAAGCTAAATGTAATTAAATATGTATATATTGTTCTTATCAATTATTGTTAAATAAATTAATAAAAAACAATTCAATTTGCAACTAACTATATTTTATTGCAACTAAATCCAGCGGAGATACCCCTGCACTTACACCAGCCACAAATGTCTTTGTAAAAATACGAAAACGCCCTTCACCAAACTGAACAGTCAGTGCTACCACGTCACTATCTGACGTGGACATACATGTATGGGTCCCACCTAAAATCGACAACCTAAAAACCCTCCTCTCCGCCTCCATCCCGCCTCTATTTCCACAGAACAAAGGAAATGTCTAACCTCAACGCCGTAGCACCCAACTTCTCTGAACCTCACCTTGCTCCGGCGAGAGCCTCTTAGAAAAGAAAATTCCCTAATATACCCTCTTAACGACCAGCCCCGAAACACCTGGGCACATTCCCGTAATGGGCATTCCGAGCGACGACGTCGTTTTAATCCAATTACCCAAAGGTCCATCCGAACCCACCTTCGTCACCGTCAATTGCCCCGACAAGCCCGGCCTCGGCTGCGACCTTTGCCGTATCATTCTCGAGTTCGGGCTTTCAATTACCCGAGCAGGTACCCCTTTTTTTCATATTAATTTATGAATTAAATGCGCGCCAAATAAGACTACAAAAAGATTGAATGTTTCTTTATTTCGATTATTATTAGATTTTTCGACGGACGGAAGATGGTGTTACATAGTATTTTGGTTGGTTCCAAATGTTTCAAATTCGTCGAGAATTGATTGGGAAAGCTTGAAAAATCGGTTGGTTTCGATTTGTCCTTCGTGTTTGCTGCCGTTTTATTACTTTAATCAGCAAGGAGGAGATGGAAATGGAAATCAAAATTCATCTCATTCTTCTTCGGTTTATTTGTTGAAACTTTGTTGCTTGGACCGCAAGGGATTACTTCACGGTTAGCTAACAATAACCCTGTAAATTTCCACGGTGTTTTGATTGATTCTTTTACTATTTGACTTAGTAGATAAATTATGGGATTTTGGGGTTTTTTTTTTTTTATGTAGATGTTACGAAAATATTGTCGGAGCTTGAGTTTACGATTCAAAAGGTGAAGGTTATGACAACGCCGGATGGAAGAGTTGTGGACTTGTTTTATATCACGGATGGAATGTGAGTATTTATGTTATAAAGAAATTTTTAGTTGAGTGAATATGGTATGCAATTTCTTTTGATTTCATATAGCATGTTTTCTACTTGGTTCTGTCTTGGGGGCGTACCATTTTGTTTAGTGTTTCAATTCTATAAGTATTTGAGTTCATTGTTTATATGTTAGTTTTGAGATAATGCCATTATGATGGCTCATTGATACGGTTATCTTTGTTGTTGTTGTTGTTGTTTTCTTTCTTGGAACTTTATGAAGTTCGGTTTCTAGAATGCTGGATTTTGGTAGACAAAATATTGTAGTGTATTAAATTTGTAGCCGGAGATGAGCAGAATAACTAATAGATATAGCTTTCATTGGAAGAGGAAGTTTTGATGTCTGTGTCCTGTTTATTTTGATTTTTTTGTACCCTTTTTTCTCTCCGGAGCTAGGGCTATTTAACCAGGTTGAAATTTTTGTTCGCTGTTGGTAATGCATAATTGGCAGTATCTCCTAACGTCTGGCACTGTCTCATTTTAGGGAACTTTTGCATACAAAACAGAGGCGAGATGACACCACTGCGCATCTGATTACTGTTTTGGGGAAGTATTGTATCAGCTGCGAACTTCAGTTGGCAGGGCCAGAATATGAGAGTATGAAGGCGTTCTCTTCCCTCCCTCCTGCAGTTGCAGAAGAGTTATTTAGCTATGAGTTAGCAGTCAAGGAAGCTAGCTCAAAGGAACTCAAGGCTGATCTGACGGCACTGAAGAAGGCCACTGTTACTGTAGATAATCAGTTGAGCCCTGCTCATACATTGCTTCAAATCCAATGTGTTGATCAAAAAGGACTCTTTTATGACATTTTAAGGACTTCAAAAGACTGTGATATTCAGGTACTTGTCATGAGATTCATGTTATTGAATTCCTGTTGATTGTTGTTTTTACTTGGCTTCTTTGTAGTGATTTTTAATCATGAAAAGTATAAAGCTTCATGTTGTAAGGTGCTTGATATATATGTAATCAAATTAGTATTTATCACATCTACTTTTTGACTGTCCTTCTTTAGATCTTTGCTGGGCTTTGCTATGACTGTTTTGATTGTCTGGGAAGCAGTGAAAATAGGGTGCTTTTATTCTCTAAATTGCAGGGACTGGACCACTTGTATTTTTTTTTTATTTAGTTTTTTGAAAATGTTGCTTTAATACATATTTTTGGTTTTATTGGCTGGCTGTGCTTGCATTTAGTAGTTTACCATATGTGGTTGTTGTTTCTCATTTAGATCGCTTATGGTAGATTCTCTTCAAGTCTGAGAGGCTACCGTAATATGGATCTCTTTATTCGGCAAGCAGATGGGAAAAAGATCGTGGATCCCAAGCATCAGACAGCTTTATGTTCTCGTTTAAAGGAGGAGATGCTTCACCCATTTCGACTGCTTATTGTCAACCGAGGCCCTGATACTGAACTATTGGTTGCTAACCCTGTTGAGTTATCTGGAAAGGGAAGGCCTCGAGTTTTCCATGATGTTACATTGGCTCTTAAAATGCTGGGGATATGCATTTTCTCGGTAAGATTTACATAGGAATTTCTTATTTGTGTTTTAGCTTTCCCTTTTCTCCCGAAATCTGAATATATTTTTGCATTTGTGAATGAGTCTTCTTTACTGTTGCCATTGATAGGCTGAAATTGGAAGGCATTCGACCTCAGATCGCCAATGGGAAGTCTACAGATTTCTTTTGGATGACAGCTGTGAATTTCCATTAGCAAGCAGCCGAGCTAGAAATCAGATTGTGGACAGAGTAAGAAGAATATTGATGGGCTGGTAAGCTGATCTATAAGTTGATGGTGAGCAATTGTTTTGCTCCTGTGGGTGTACCTTTCTGTATTTAGAAACACAAGAATCATCTTGCTGCATATCATACAACTCCTCCTTGGCCCCAATTTGATGTCTACGCTACCTGTGTGTCCCAATTAAACAGTTCAGAAGCAAGGACTGGGACACTGCTTTGAGTTCTGAAGATTGCATTGTAAGCTATTTGCAGCATCTGTGGCATTTCGGGCGCTTAAGGTTTTAACTGTAATATTATCCTCTTTTCATGTATAGTAACTAGTGCTTTTTGTCGAAATTCCTAATATTTCTTTTTAGTACACTCTCTAAACCATGGCATGCCTTGATGAAGATGAGGACTAAATTTTAACAAAGTAATTGAGATTGTATTGTAAAAATATTGAGAATGGAAAGGAAAGGGAGCATTTTCCTTTATATATTGCGCTTATGAATGCATGGTAAGGAATGAGGAGTGACCATTCATTCTCTGTTCTGATTTGAGTTTCCTTTCCCTATAAAAATGCATATGATTTACATGTGAAATCTTTTAGTGTTTGGTACTAAGGACGCTTATATTTACTTTGATCACATCCTTTGATTCTAATTTTACCAATCTCATGGACTAACAAAAATTATCACATTGGGTGCTTCATCCATGATTTTATATCACGTGAATGCTTAATTTATATAAACTTTAAATTGTTTCTATTATTAATATTTAGGGTCCTTGATTGATAGTATAAGATTAGATATATGATGGGAAATTATGAAAGAGGTAGCAAGTGGGTTGGACATATAACATAATAAGTAACGAGTTTTCAATGTCAAGATTTAAGATTCTCAATTGATGGTCTCTTTGGAAAACAGTATTAGAACTGTTTTGATCACTCTTCTACTGCAAGGTGTATTGCAGATCAAGAGGTCACTGGTTCGAACCCGGTTGGGCCCTTGAAATTTAATCCCTTCTACTATTAAACAATAGAAATATAATACCATTACCCTCCCTTCCCATTTCCCTCTGGATTTTTCCCGTTTGGTTTTACATTACAAAGGAACGGCTTTGGATTCATGTTGGAGATTGGTAGATTCATTTACCTTTGACGTTGAGACCAATCCTCGGCCAACTTCAACACCCAGAGTTGGAATCCCTCCCACATTTCCTTACTGTAGTTTCCATCAGTTCGCCATTTCCAGTTTTAAGCTTCTTTGGCTTTAAAGTTCAATAGATGCTCTTTTTAAGAAAGATGAAGAAGAAAGCAAACAAGGTAAAAACATTGGTTCTTGTATTGGGCAGTCACCCAATGCAATGATTAGTGACAAAAAGTGGTAAGTGTAAGATACTAAAATTACACCATCTTCCTTGTGGTTTAAAAGTAACTAAATCTCACATGCACTTGGCAGCCAAATGATTCCCATTGTTCTAATAACTGAGAATGAGAGACTTAAGTACAAAACCATGAACTTTGCTATCTATCAATGGAACTTAACAAAAACATAATGAAATTATGAGTGCAGATCAAAAGCTACTTCGATGGAATAACATCTCCTATTTCCTTAACCACAACCTTTCGACTCAAAAATGGACACAGATTGCCTTCAGCAGCTCGTGTGTATAAGACAATTTATGCCTGTAGACCCACAATAGCAAAAAATCAAACATAAGTTTTGGTAACATTTGAATCATGGCATGGATTCAGAAGCTAGAATTTAAAATAACTAAGCCAGTACAAAGAGCTAAATCATTGCACAGATTTTTTGTTTATGTATGCCTGTGGAGAAGGGCATTCATGTTTTGCAAGAGAGAATCCAGAGAGAATAGATGTGAGAATCCCAAACTCAGTTAACAAGGCTTTAACATTGATGTATTGTGTATGAATAGCTATGAAACCCTAATAGCAAGCCACGTGCAAAACACAAGTGCCATCGAATATCAGAATGTTAAAATATGCATAAATTACCAGGAAGTTACTTAGGACGCTAGTTCTCTGATTTTTTTGACTTAATCTATGCTAATTTAATCTTGATGTCAAAACTCAAAAAAATCTACGGAAAATCAAAGAATATTAGATATAGTTCAATAATGCAGAAGTTTGAAACTGTAAGGGTGGTTATTGGCAAGAAATGAACTAACCTGTCAAGGAGATAGGAATACTCTACAACGCCACGAAAAAGCATCTGAATCCTGCGGTTCAGTTTTTACTTTCTGTACATAACGCTCCAAAGTATGTGTATGCTCATCTATGCTATCATTAGACATCGTATCTTCAGCTAGTCTGACTGCTGCCATGTGAGATAGTTGAAAGTTCTCTCCCACATGTTGCAACTTCCGTGCAGTTTCTTCCTTACCAAGCATTACAAGGGAAACCAACAAGGACTTGAGTTCACTCTTTGCTCCAGCTGTTAGAGACATGCCTTTCAGATGTTCTACAAGAGCCATCTCCTCACCAGGGCTACAATGTCAAGAAATGTGCACAGAAAATTATGTCACCATAGATATAGCAAGGAAGAAAGAAGAGAGATCCTGACACTTTGAATAACCACATACCTGCCAGGGCGAATTTTTCCTCTGCTTCGTTGTCGTCTTGCATCTCTAGCCTTGCCAGCCACAGTTGAGCTGGTGGAAGCAGCAGAGCTTTTTCTTGTCCTGTTCATGCAAGAAGGAAACAACACGTTCAGACGAGAACAAGACTCAAAAAAAGACCATCTGTATATACCACTGAAGTCAGAAAACAGGCTCTGAGCCCCACCTAATTAATCATACAACTTGTAGCACATTGAGAAGATATTTATTGGGTAGTGAGATGCAAATGTATTCAGTCTATGATTGAAGTTAAGAAATACCCATATATGTTTCTCTTGGATCTCCAAAGAAGTGATAGTTTACCAGAAAAGTTTGAGGATGCTCATAGAATAAACATAAACAAAGAAAAAAGGAAGTGATTAAATGCTAATATTTAGAAAACTAAAAATTCCAGAAGCACGCAAAAAGTTGTCCTTTAGGTAGCTCTTTACAATTAAGAATAATGATACTTGTTATGACCTAAACAGAATTCAGTCATTAAATGATAGATTAAAAGGTTAAAGTCTCAATGAAATAAGGTTCTTCATTTATCTAGAAAGTGAAAAAAGAAAAAATCAACGAATAACAAGAATAAGTAAGCAACAAGGTATTGATGCACATGCATAAGTAGATATGACATGTTCTATAAACAGCAATGCCATGGATAAAATATAACCAAGAGATACGGTGAACCACAACAAGCTATAGAGCAATGCACATGACACTAAATATGCAGCACACATACCCTGTGGTGTAGACACTCATTCCACTGAATGTACTACTAGCTTCAGAAGCAGTATCATCATCAGTATCATTTATCGATCTTTCTTCTGCCTGGAGCTTCGCTGCAAGCAACAATCTTCTTTGTCGAACAGCTAAATAGCGAGCCAAATATTTCCCCACTTTCTCCAACCCTTCCTTATATTCATCAATTAGGCTGCTTGCACAATCCAATGATGCATTTTTCACTTCAGAAACTAAATCCTCTCTCCTATGCAAAAAAGCAACCCTCAAAGCCTCCTCCCAGTCCCTTGCACTGATTAGCAAGTTGATCCCTACACTAATATCTCCACAATACTCCAAAGCAATTTTGGCAGCTTCTCCTGGTTTACCAAGGGCTTGGAGTTCTTCACAAAGCTCATGAGCCAGTTGCATTACTTCATCTCTTTCCAGCTTTATAAGCCCAGCAACTGTCAGCACACCACTCCAATTACCGCATTCACGATATGCCTTCAAAGCTTTTGGCAAACAGGAACAACACAAATAAGTTGCAGCAGCATCTTCAAAGCATTTTTCATCACTAAGTTGATCACCCCAAGCCTCAAGGACTTGGCCTCTCTTTATAGGATCAGTTATCAGCTGAAGTCCTAGAGGAAAAAGTTGAGGATTCTTCTTCACAAGGTTCATGCAATCAGCAAAATGGGCATCACCTGCAGACACAATGTGTATGAGAGCTTTCTCAAACCTGCGCAGCCTAAGGTCAATGTTATAGCGCATCAACAGAACAGGCAGACGCTCCAACTCTTGGAGAAAGGGAAGAAATTCCTTAGGGTCCCGCTGGGAGTTCAGTGCCACAATAGCTGCAAGGTTCAAATCATAAAGGCCTAAAGCAGCTTCAAAGACAGCATCTGAATCTGATAACCACAAGAGATGTTTCAGAGCTTCTTCGGAAGAAGGGCAATTCATTCTTCTTGGGTCATCAGAATCTAATAGCTCCATCTCTCGGATAACTTTTACCCTCTCCAAAGCCTCTTCAAGAGCAGGGGGATCACTACGAGCCAGAGTGGTCAAAATACAGAGCTCCCTTGCAGGGCTTTCAGGTACTTGTTGCCCAAGTGCCCTCCTTATGGCCAGGAGGACTGATGACACCTTGTTATTAGCATCTAAACTAGCATCAGAACCCTTGAAATCATTGGCTTGTAAATCCTTTTTCCCCTTGCAGTACGGTAGAGAGAAAAACTTTTTGTATAGTGTCTCTGTCATCTTTTCATTTTTAATGGCACAGACAAACTCAGTTATGTAACTCAAATTGTTGACCTGCCTGACAAACTCTGAAGCTAATTGAAGAAACACTTGCAACCCACAATAGTCAACAATCACATTAAAATCAATCCTGTGTCGCCTCACCATATGAAGTGCATCCTTAAAGCGTTTTTGGTTCAAAGCGTTGACAATTGAAGCTAGCACCAATTTTCTTGGATAGATGCATTCCAGATTTCCACGATGTGTTTGCAATATGACAGCGGCTTCATCTCCATGCAGGACACCAACAATTTTGGCCCCTTTTTCCCATATATTTATAAAGTTAGTATTTTCCTCTTCTTTTCGTTTGGTACCAATATGTACAAAGTTCTCATATGTTAATTCCAGTTCTCCATGCAATATATCACTGATGTTAACAATAAAAAGCAAATCTTGTTTTGTTGCAAGAATCAAATGTGTGATCACATTGTCAGCTAAATTTGAGTAAAATGAAAAACTGCTGCAGTTGCTGCATAGTATTCTCCTACCGACATGCAGCCTACCCATATCGTCAACACCAAAAAGCAAGTGCTGTGGTTGTTCACTGACACCAACCAGAACCACATTCATCCAAGGGCAAGATGAAGAAAAACTTATCTCATCATGTTTCAAATCTCTTCTGGTAATTCCCAACTTTGATGTATATTCAAAAACTTCTCCACCATCAAACTGAACAAAAGCTGCACATCTTTTAGCAGGATTAGGAACAATCCCCATTACAAGTCCTTCCAACAAATTTTGATAGGAAACTTTTGCGTGCCAGCCAGAGCATGTCAGTAAACCTGGCAAGTTATCCTCATAACAAGCAAGCTGAATTTCCTGTAAATAGAAACCACAAAGCCTATCCTCACTTGAAGGGGTTTGGAAAGAACAATTACTGTGATTAAATCCATAATGAGAAACGGCTAGAAGCATGTGTGAATCCAGCCACATAAGATGTACGAAGGATCCCAAGGATGTTGCAGATACACATGGTTCTACGCTAAATTCTTTGCCCTCTAGTTCTTCCCAAGTATCAGGTGCAGGAAGCTCTGCAACACACAGACAGCCATTTGATAATAATGCAGCCAAACGATTCTTACCTTTTGTGGAATAAAAAGCCATTTCCCGAACAGCACTTGGAAAATTAAGGGTAAATAGATACATAGGAGGTGGCAATAAGGATAAAGAAAGGGGGGTCACAAGTATCTTGGAGTCATCAATAACCAAAGCTGTTGAGTCTTCCATGACAGCTGTAACCCAGATGAATTTGTAAACTGTGACCTGCCCGCCGAGAGTCCAAGAGATTAATTGCTGTGGCTTTGTCGGATCCCACATGAACCTAACTCCGTCTTTCCTCAAGTATTTGATTTCGTGCTTTAGATACCAATGATTGTTGCTGAAAAACCAGATCTTAACAGAATCATAATTTCCCGATCTAACAATGGCTGCAAGAAGATCAGAACTGCAATTCCACTTCAGAAGTTCTACAGTTGCATCAACTGGTTCATTAATGCGAAACGAGCTTCTTTCTAACCCATTCCTTTCATAGAAAACTATTGATGGGCCAGCTTCGGGCTTCCTGTCACAGACAGCTGCAATTTTTGCTCCACTAGGCATCCATTCCAGAATAGCTCCCATTAATTCCTTTGGTTCTGAGGAAGCATGTAATGCTCCAGCATCCCGTTCCCAGACCTTAAGCCTCTTTTTCAAAGAAGAAGAATTTGGCATCTCGCTCAGAGTGGCAAAGTACTTCCCATCACCTCTCCAAGAAAAGGGGCTTCCAAAAACATCTCTGGATGAAAAATCCAGTTCACCTGAAGCCAGGGAGCCAGTCAATAAATTACCAATATAATAGAGAACAGAAGTAAGTTACATAACTGAAAAATTGGTTAATTTCCTTATCCCACATTAGCATGATAGTGAAAAATACAGAAAAAATTAATTGCAGACAGAAAAAGCAGTAAAAAAAAAATCAGAGAATCATGGAGAAAAGTCCTTACGTACGTCAACACCTTCAGGATGGTCCTCCAATGCAGTCTCATACAACAAATCCCAATCATGAGTCATCACCAGTAATTGCCCTAAACCAGTAGTCACACCAAGAAGATCTCCATCAGGACTGGGTGAGATGCACTTGACTCCACCCTCCACCTGACCAACAACTTCTGTATCCTTCCCATCTACGTTATGCAGCAGCAAAAGCCCACTAGAAGTACCCACTATCAATGCTTCTTTCTCCATAAGATAATCAAAAGAAGTAATGACATCCTCAGGCTCCAAACCCAAGGGATCGATTTCTGCTTGCAAAGGACCTTTAGTCCATGCCCTTTCATTCTGAAACATTCAAAGACTGGTGTCAGCAACTATAAATTCTACAAATTGCCGCATTAAAAAGGCCAAAAATTTCTACTAACGACAAATAAAACTTGCATACTTAACAATCCCATTTAAATTTACACCCAATTGTATGTAACTCATAAAAAAAAAATTATTAGACAAAAAAAAGAAGGAGAAGAGGAGAGCGGCATACTTGGAAAGAAGAAAGATGGAGGGTGTAAATGAGATTATCCGAAGAAGCAAAGAAGAAGCGATTTCTCTCGATATCATATGCAGCGAACAGTAATACTTCGCCTTCTGACTGTAACTCTAGATTCGAAGTAATCTCTGAGTAAAGCTTCAGGTTTTTCATTATTTTAGTTTCTTAAGTATCGGAAAACCCTAGCGGAAAATCGAAGCAAAAATAAGGGTTTTGAACTGCGGAGGCTTTTTTGCTTTCACTTCTGATAAAGGAGGGAGCTTTCATCTCACTATAGCCAAACCTACTTAGAGAAAAACAAATTTCTTAATGTTTGACTAATTTGCCCCTATACTTTTTCTTTCTTTCAATTTTCTCCTTTTAACTTTTTGTTGTTTGGCCTTTTTGGGAATAATTAGAATTCTAGCCAATGATTTTTTCTTTTTCTTTTTAATAAATTCCAGCTAAAGACAGAAATAATTAATAATTTAGAATGAATTGTTTTTCCCCTTGTATAAATTATAATTAAAAATTATTTTTCTTTAAAATCGAAAGAATAGTAATCATAATCATGTACATAAATAATATAAATTTTTATTATTTACTTGCACTATTTTCGAATTCATTCCATTCAAAATATTATATTTTTAAACTCTTTTATCTTTTATTATTTTATAAAAACTTACCATGACTAATATAAATTTTGAAGTAAAATTTATATTTTATTCATTCTATTTTCGAATTCATACTACTCAAACTATTATATTATCGAATTCTTTATCTTTTAGTTTTTTAAAAAAACTTACTGTCAATAATATAAATTTTGAAATAAAGTTTTTTCGAACTCTTTTATCTTTCAATTTTTTAAGAGATAAGAGCTCATTAATATATATTTTTGAATTTTTTATTTTTTTAAAAAATATTCGTTATTAATAGCTGAACAATATATAGTATAATTATCTTTATAATAACCCTTTAACCGCTTCTAATGTAAAATTCAAAATTCGCTAGTTGGCCTTTCCAACGTCTCACTTTTTTCTTCTTCCGGATTGGGTTAGGTTTCAGTTATCTCCACAAGTATTAACACCATTAACAAATTAGAATTTGACCAGTTGCTCACCTGAAAAGAAAATGGTATAAAGCTGTGTATGTGGGTTGAGTCCACCGAGTTGGAAAATAAGCATTCACCATTCCACTAAACCAGCTCTTTTACCAGCAGAAATATACCCCAAAATCCAAACCTGTGGATGCTTTGCATTTTCTTCCCTGCTCAAACTCTAAACAAGCATATTTCATAGTTTTTCGGAGTACCATAACGCAGTCGAGAGTCCCTGTTTGTTGTCAAAACCTTAAAGAAAACATCGACAGGTAAAGAGACAGATGAGGAAGAAGAGTGAGAGAAATGGGAAGAAAAGAATAAGGATTGAACTCAACTACATGAAATGAGTACAAAATATGGGTAATTACACTTGATTAAGAAGAAAAAGCAACACAAGAAATAAGGAAGAAGGAGCACAAAACTAAGGTTTACATCTAAGAAGACCTTTCACCTATTCAGTATTCATCAAAGATATAACCTACTTGATTTTGTTCCTATAGTTTGTATATTTCTGTGTTACCTGCTCTCACATCGATCTCTCCTAACTGGTTTACAGCAGAACTGGCTCAGTATTTACCGTGCCAAAAGTTTTCCCTAATATGGTATCACCTCAAGCAAAAGTGCTGACACCACCAACCTAACATTATACAATCTTTAAGGCAAGACTTCAGTCAAGTTCAATACCCCTTTCTCTTGCTGCTTCCACAACGGCGTCCCCATCTCCATTAATCTTAGTTACCTTGTGATAACATTGCCACAATTTGAGGGAGAATGGATATACCGATAAAGCCTTTTTATAGTACCTCTTAAGTATGGTTTCAGTGCCCAGAATATTGCCCAGTATATCTGCAGCCTTTACCCATATATACTCAGGCGGAATGGGAACAGCATGAAAGATTGCATTGACCAGGGTTGAGCCAACCCAAAATAAAAGACCGGGAGAAATGTCACTATAGCTGTCGCCTTTGCTTAACATCTTACTCACGGAAAACACTAACTCATAGTTGGATGGTGCTATTCCCAAGATAGCTTCCACAAAATCAACTAGATTCTTTGGCTCAGTTATGTTTTGGGGCAAAAGAGATGGCCCATACCACACTTCAAGAACCAAGTTCACAAGATAAGAATCGAATGAGACTGGACTCAGAATGTTTCTAACAAGTTGCTGGACTCTTGACTTCTCAATCTTGCTGATAAAATGTCTAGATAGTGGCTCAGGGACCGCAAAAGACCGGGCAGCATCCAAATACATATTCAAAGTGTTAAGCTGCCAACTAATAGGAATGCCCTCCTCTTGAGACTCATCGTTAAGCAAAAACATGGCATGCTCCTTTACACAAAGATTGAAACTCGTGGCAGTAGCAGCCCTCAATGCCAGGTCAATAGCTGAGCGAGCCTCAACATGATCATTCTGCAAAAACTTATAAAGAAAGTGATTAAGATATCCAAACGTCACATCCATCTGACTAGAGCTAGGTGCCAAAAAGTCAGGCTTTGATGTTGAACCCAATTCCAGAGAGACAAAGGAGTTCCCACCATCTATTGCATTCAAATTTTCACTTTCCGATTTCTGCACTTTCCAAACTGAGTGAAACCAACGTGTCATGAGTTTTTTGACAAGATCAGGTTTTCCATTTTGTTGGGCATATTCAGCATACTGGTTCCAGATACACTGAATTCCAGGGGCTTCTTTTGGCCAGTTATGAAGGGCTTCTTCAAAGCCAATAAAAGCCAAATTCCCAGAATCATTTTTTTGCACTCGTGCTGATATCAGAACAAGTTCTAAGCAAGATGGGTACAACTTTATGTATTTTTCCAACAAATTTTGACTGCATTCAGAACTATCAAGTACCACCATACACCTAATGTGGTTGAGAGCAAAAAGTTGTGCTGATCTGAGGTCAATTTCACTCTTACATGTTTCAATATTGATGTACGAGTCAACACAACTTACTACCATTTCTAAGAACTGCACAACCTTTTTCTTTTCATCATCGCCCAGATGAACTGAGGGCCATTCAACTGGAAGGAGTTCTTTCTCACACTCTAACCGCTGCAGCACAGCATCTGGCAGCTTCCTGTAAATAACCAAGTAAATACAAGAAACCCATAATACACATTTGTCAGAAATTGTTAAGCATGTGAGGATATCAGTAAACATCGGAGAATGAGGCCCATCGGAATTCGTTGTAGAAGGTAAGGGTCTATATATTGTTTGGATGGCTTTCTCAACATTCCCAGATATGCACAAACAATCCATCATCTGCAAAAACAGGTCTAGGATGCATGCACTAGTATGCATTTCATCCTTCCCAGTGGAAGATGCACCACGGCAAAGTGCTGAAAGAGCAGCTCCATATGCAACCAACCGATCATCAAGTTGTTTTTGACTATTGATGTACATAAGCCAAAGTTCATACGATCCTTCATTGTTTCTGACCTGAAGACCAAGAGGAGAAGTATTGCCAAACAAAAGGTTTGAACTTCATTTGAATTCTCTAAAGGAGGAACAAGGATGCATGTCTGCATATGTTAAACCAAACACATCCACATACACATATACACAGAAATACATTCTTAAATGCTTGGTGTGTGCAAGAGAGATATGATGCTGCCTAAGTATATGCAATATAATACAAGTTTAATGCCAAAGAAAGCAAATTTTAATATACCAAAAGAATAAATATTTGAAAGAACATAATACATTAAATTCACACACACAATTATCTAAGGAAGTGATGGCAAGAAAGTTATCAAAAGAGGAACAACCTTAAGCAAGCCAAAAACAATGACACATGGACAAATACTCACACATAAAAACCAATAACAACAGTGTTCACATAGTCTGTTATTGATCCACCCTCCCAAAATTACCATTACCACCATAAACAATAATTGTAACAGGCTCACGCATGCATCATGAATGGACAAGTAATTTCTTTTAGTTTCTCTGCTTTTATTCCATTCCCACCATCACAAGGAGAGTAATATACCATTTGAAAATAGTGAGCAGTAAAAGCAGGTTACAAACAGCTAACAAAGATATTAATAGCATGCGTAAGACAATGGGCGGTGTAACAAGTTTCCAAATGAAAAGCACTTCTTTGGAGAAACCAAAAAGTTCCTCCAGGCATATAGATGCTAGTATTTGTATGAACTCCCTTTAGGAGGACTAACCAACAAATTCCATTAAACGAAAACCTCTACATATTAGCGTGAAAAGTTACCATAAAACCAATAGCACGCCCACTAAAAGAATGGATTCCTGACGTGCAGAGACTCCATCGAATTATTTAAACCAGGCATAAATAATATCATACCGCATAAGAGAACATGTCATCCTTCCCAACAAATGTCATATGGCTATAGCAGATAAGCACATAAACAATCCAGAGAATTTCTGATGCTGGATCAACCTCAAGGGCTCGTGACAGCAAATAAAGAGCCTGCAAAACTTAAAAAAGTGGAGTTAATGACAGAAACAGAAGTGTAGCGATGTGAATACGAAACAAAAGGTATCTAACAGGTTGCTAAGGTTACCTTTTTCATACCCTCCATTCTGTTAACCTCCTGGTTGAGAATAAGCAAAGCCATCTCCAAGGACTGGGCATTCATACCTAAAGCTTGGTTGAGTTTATTCTGAGTACACACCATGGAAAGGAGAGTCCAAATTAGAATATGGACTTAAACAACACAATATGACAGTTTGTCATTTATAATACAGAAAAAATAATACAAACATATCTTTATGGTAATGGTATTAATAACCATAAATGTGTGAAAGCAAGCAGTGACGAAAACTTGAAAAACTACAAGAGGCCTCGTTTCTTTCCCCCATCTTGGATTGAGCATCAGGCTTTTCTAATGAGTATGATTATAGGTAATCATCCAAAGAAAGCTTGACATCAGTTAGAGAATGTACTTTAGAAAACATAACCAAGCCTTTCCTCACATCTCTCAATTAACAAAAGATTATTATAAAATCAATAGAAGGTCAACTCAGAACAAAGGACTTAAAAAAGGGATACTTGATAGTAAACAGAATGATTTAGGGAAGCAAAGATGGATTAAAGTTGCACATGTCTATAGCATAAATATTAGGCCAGAAGTTTGTAAAGCTATAATTCACCAAACAAAAAGATCATAGTGCTCAAACCAAAGAAAAGGCA